AACTTAACAAAAAAAGGGTATACAGATGAATGTCCATTTTGTATCTGTGTATTCAAAGTGGTTAGGATAGATATATAGTTACATTCTCTTAGTGAATAGAATGATTTGTTCTGATGGTGTTTATAAGTAGGATATCATGTCCACATCTTGTACAGCAATTAACCACTAGGAAGAATGTATGCAATGTGTTGATTATTGAAACTGTCCTACCAATTTGAAAAAAAAAAAAAGCATGCTCCACATCACTAGCCATCTGTGAATGGAAATCAAAACAACATTGAGATACCATCTCACCCCATAAAAAACGGCTGTCATAAAGAAATCAACCAACAACAAATGTTGGAGAGGCTGAGAGGAAAAAGGAACCCTTCTTCACTGCTGGTGAGAATGTAGACTGGTGCAACCATTATGGAAATCAGTGTGGAGACTTCTTAAAAAACTAGCCTGGAAATCCCATTCAAACCAGCTATCCCCCTACTGGGAATTTTCCCAGAGTAACTGAAAACATCATATCATAGTGGTATATGTGCACCTATGTTTATAGCAGCACAATTTGTGATATCCAAATCTTGGAAACAACCAAGAGGCCTGTCACATGAGGAATGGTTGAAAAAGATTTATACAATGGAGTATTACTCAGCTATAAAGAATGATAAACTCGAAGTCTTTATATTTAAGTGGATGCCACTTGAAGATATACTCATAAGTGAAATAAACAAGACCCACATGTGTAAATATCATACAGTCTCCCTAGTGTAAGAACTCCAAAGAAGAAATAAAAAGAGAAAGGTATAATACATCCTGTTCTTTTGTTCTTTCTGCACTTCAGTCCCTGGTCAATGCCTGTTTTCTATGATTAGTTTACCTAAGCCTTCTGAGGTCAGGGACACAGTTCAGAGGCACAGTAGCCGCGTAGCAAGCCCAAGGTCCTGAGAGTGATTCCCTATAACAACAACAACAAAACACTTCTTCTGGATGCTCTGCTGATCTTTTCCCCATATATATAAGGTACCCAGAATTAATGTACTTTTCCTAATACTTTTTCATAGCATAATTTAAAAATACCTACTCATATATTCATATATCTACTTCTCTTTATGAGCAATCATTTTTAGAAATTTTTAGAATGTAAGTATCTTAGAGATAAGACAAAAACTGTGAGATTTTTACCCCTAAAAGTACAAATACATACTACATTTTCCAAAAATCACTACACTAAGATGTCAATTCCTTAAAAGTGGGCACTGTGTATACTCACCTCTCAGGCCAGTGCGTGACACTTAGTAACCACTGAGTGTTTTCAATGCACATCCACCATTACTAGAACTAACATACCATGGTGAACCTATTTAACCTGAATTTCATAGCCACCCAATTATCTGAAGGAAACTAATTAGAGAGTAAGTCAGGGTCTCACTAAATCATTAGAAAACTAATCAAATCTCAGGCTAACTATGTGTCCACAGAACAATTCCATTTACGGGTATTGAGCACTGGTCTAGTTTCTGTTTTTGTTTTGAAGAAAATCAATTTACTAGGTTGATAGCTAATGATGATTCACTGTAATAAAAATACATATAAACAGGTAATTTAATACATGTAAGCAAAGAAAGAAATCAGTGTGTCTTAGTTACTTTTCTCTCATTGCTGGAACAAAATACTCAATATCCAAATTAAAGAGGGAAATGTTTATTTAGCTTTCAGTTTGTGGAGCTTTCTGGCCATAATCAGCTGGCTCCAAGGCAGGCGGCAGGGCAGAATGGCAATAGTTCACGGTGGTGGAAGACAGCAAAAACAACAAGAGCAAAAAGGAAAAAAACACCCTCTTTTCCTCCCTTATACTGCACGCAGGCTTCCTGCCCTAGGGTGGATGTAGCACACCATCTCGTCCTCCTCTTGCATAGGCTCAGGATGTTTATGAAGTGAGGACCCTGGCCTCCTTCTGAGTTGCTTAAACTTCTCACGTTGTGCAATGAATCAACTATTACAACACACCAGGACATAAACAGCCACTCTAGGGCATGTCCTCTACACCCTAGGGCACAGAACTGATGAGTCAGTTGCTCTTCTAAACTTCTCAAGTTGACACAATATATCAGCCGTTATACAGTACCACTTTCACCTCAAACTGGTCAAGCTTCTATTTTGTTAGTTGATGATAATACCGAGTGCTTAGGAAAGTGGGGTGAAATTAACACACTCATTCCTGGCTGATGCTGGTCATACCCAGAAGGACACAGCATGTGGATTCTGACCACAGCTGCTGAGCTCCATGATTCTGGGTCTTCTTAGCTGGAAATGATTTCCTCATGAGCAGGAAATGTGCTCCGAATAAAATGCTGCTGACCTCCATTCTCCATGTCTAGGATCTCTACCCTACTTCAGCTTCTCATGGTATCATTCCTAGACCACTTCCATGACAAACCTCCCTCTCTCTGCTTTTATACTGCTCCAGGCTATCTGCTATGCTTTTCCTCTACTACCTTTATTTTAGGAAGGACAAAGACATGTCTACTTAGAAGAGCAAAACCAGTAAACTCCTCAAAGGTCCACTGACTAGAGAAAAAACTCTTGGTGTTGTGTTCATGATACTCATCTATTTTTCCTCTAACCCTTAGCTCTGCTCAATCTGACATCATAACAGTTTTTCTCCAGATTCCTCCATACTGCAATCCCTCCCACCATGCAGGTCTTTAGAGAAACCTTCCCAGAACATCGTGTGAAAACCTGCATACTCTGCACAATACTCTTCTCTCTAAACCTGATTTTTCTCCCTTAGTGCTGCCTGATATTTATTCATTTCTTTTTTCACTAGCTCACATTTGCAGTAATATTTACATTCCTTGTGTTGAATTAGCACATGTACATGGCACATCTTAATTTCTTTTTACATCCCTTTTCCCTCCTCTCCCTCTCTCCCTTCATTTGTGATCCCTTTCCATTTGAGAAGATCTATCTCCCTATAATCTACATTTTATGCTGCTCTTTATTTGTAACTTAGGTTTCTTGTATAAGAGAAAACATGCAATGCTTAAATTTATGTCTAATCTATTTCACTTAACATTATGGTTTCAAGGTAGATTCAGGAATTTCCTACAAAAGACTCAAGTTTATTTTTATGATATAGTAGTACTGCACTGCACGTAAAAATATGTTTTCTACATCCATTCATCTGTTGATGGATAAATATCCCTGCCTCCCCAAAAGAACACATGTTTCATGAGAGCATAGATTTTAACATTTCGCTCAATGCTTTTCCCCAACACCCAGAAGAACAAATGTTCAACAAACTGTTGCTGAATATATGAACAGATCTCTGAATAGTCTAATTTCATTCTTTTTCTCTTAATAATGTTTTAGACAACAAGAGCCTCTTTTCTGTACTATATGACAAAGCTCCCATCCATTGTTCAAGCCCTGTGTCTTTAATGTGAAGCTCTTCTTTCTTCCCTGTGTTCCTTTCATACTTTGAGCCTGTCCTAAGCAAGAGACGAAGACACTTATTCTACTTTCCACATGGAAGGTCCGTGACTAACTTACTGCACTTTCCATTTAGAGTTTTTGCAACTTCCATTGGTTGCACTGAGATAGAACCCCACTGAAAGCTGACAAGCACGTGTAAGTGGGTATGACGGGGAAGACAACTTTTCTTCACCATAGAAATATCAGCATAGTACAGAGCAGTAAATTTGTTTGCCATGAAAAACAGCTTTACTTTCTAAAGTTCATTAATTTAATGGACATTCTTAATATAGTATATATCATTTCCAACTTATCACAGTTCTAAAATGCAGTAAGTGAAAGTGTGTAAGTATGAATTCTGAGCTTCCTGGTCTGTCTGGTTGTAGAGCTACGAATAAACTATTCAGCCCCTACCTTCATGTTACTTTGGGAGTAAGCTGCCTGCAGAGAGCTGGCCTTTGCCTCCTTCTCCCCATGGAAGACCAGTTTTGAGGGGAAGCTGACACTCCTAGACCACAAGCAGCCTGATCCCAGGGTCCCGTCAGCAAGTGCTAGCAAAAGTGTCACATTCTGACCTACTACTAGTGAGGAATCTGATTCTTTGACATATTTCACTAACATTTCAGAACCTGGGAAGTACAGGGGAAAGGAGCAGTGTTCACCATTTTCGTGGGTGCCTGTAGTACCCACATCTCCCTTGGCAACCTCAACCATGAATCTGATTTGGGACCTTAAATGCTCACAAAAGATAAGTGAACTGCAATGCCTTTTAAACAAGAAATGGATTAACATCATGGTCAGTGTCCTCTGGTGACCAACAGCCAGAGAAACTGCAGGCAGCATTTCCACTATAGGCAATGCCCTAATGGCTGAAGCACAGAACCTACAGTCACTAGCATCCTATTCAAATGAAATTAAGTAACCAGTGAAATTAATATGTGGATGAAGCCAATAAGGAAACATATTTGGTTTGAATTTTTCTGGCCTCAAACATTCACACTTCATGTTTGTTCACTTACTCATTTTAAAACTGGGATAAGCTGACGGTGATGGATGCTTAATTATGACTAACCGTAAAAATTAATGTGCATTTAAAATAAAATTTTCTCATAGCATATAAATTTACTGCTCCATATCACTTTGCTGCTTTCACAAACTCTAGAAGACCTAATTTTGTAAATGGGTCCCCTACCAATTTGACTCTCACTATATACTTTGCTCAAACCGACTTCCTATTGGGTCACTGTGCTCAGGAAGCATTTAGATTACATTAAAGATCTTTAGAATGTGCTTTGATTTTATGAAGGAAAATAAAAGTTACAGTATTTCCATTAGAATTAAAAATGAAGAAAAGAAATCTGCTCACCTGAAAACACATCAAGTCTTGCAGCCCCTGCATCTCTGGAAACAGTATAAAAAAAATCACCACTTCAGTGAGAAATTATATTTAAAAACTATATTAATTTGAATTGATTATGTGAGGCATAATCTATTGTCAAATATTAAACAATACAAAAACCTACTTAAATTGCTTTAAGATCAATTGCTAAAATGTTTCACTGTGCATTTATACACTTAAAACTATCATCATTCATAATTTGAGAACATTACCAAAGAACATTACATTCAGAAAAGTAAAAGAAATGATAGGATTTAGTGGTACTTATACAAAGAGCTCAGCAAAGTGAACATGAATACAGAATGTTTTAATGTCTGGAGAGTGATCTGTAAGTTACAGAATGACTTCCATGCTGCATTTCAGTTCATAAAATGAAAATAAAAAGCAAGTTACTATATACTTCATACTGTACTAAGAGCATACATGATGTATATGTACATAATGGAGACAGAAAAGGCAAACTGTGGTCTTTGAGCCAAATCGGGGACACTGTGTTGTAGAAGTCTTATCATAACACATCATAAGCTTCTTGATGTGTGTGTTGCCTGTGACCTCCCAAGAGTATGATGCTAGTGCTCACTCAGCAACAGAAGCCACATGGCCTGCGGTGACGACATTTGCCATCTGGTCTCTGGCAGAAAAATATTAGACACTTACTCTGTGTGATGAACTTGCCCATTTTTTCCCTTTCTTCTTATCTCCTGTTTTATAAAATTCAGATATTATTTTTGCAATTTTAAGAATTATTCTTAGCATAAAACTTTTAAAAGGAAAAGAAGATAGGCCACAAAACCCTAGCTTCAGTATCACAGTGTGAAAGGAGGATGCTGAGAGTGAGGTCTTGGCCAACATGGAGCAGGTCTCTGAAGGAGGCAGCAGGCAGAAGGGCAGCTCAGCACAGACACAACTAGTGCAACTGCGAGGGAGAAGCTCGAACCTCTACAAGTTTCCACAGTCCCAAACCCAAAACTATCCAAATATGTCTGAGCAGATACAGTGTATTTGTTCTACCAGTCTCCATGTTAGTGCTTTATAGCTGCTTCCTCTGGTCAATGGATACTTCTAAACCCTCTTTATATGGATACCTGCAATTACTGCCACTGTTTCTTGAGTAATTCCTTGAATGCAACAAAGAGGTACTTTTGTTTATGCTGCTGTAGTCCTTGATGCAACACTATGACATGCAGACATAGGTATCTCTACTGTGCAATTATGTATTATACAAAGTAGCCTCACTATGATGAAATAGCATTCTGTAGAATGCTACTTTTAGTCTCTCCAGGAGGCTGGGCATGGTGGCAATGTCAGCACTTGGGAGGGTCAGGCAAGAGGATTCCTACACGTTCAAGGCCAGCCTGAGTTACATAGTAAGTTCAAGGCCAAATTGAGCTGTATACTGAGACTGATTATTTATGTAGTGCCTCTTGTTTGTTAAACCTTTTTCTTTTACTGTCTGGCTTTTCTTTCTTTCTTTTTTTTTTTTAGAACCGGGGATTGAATTGAGGCCCTTGTGCTTGCCAGGGAAGTGCTTATTCCACTGAGCCATCTCCCCGGTCCCTGGCTTTTCTTTTTGAGCATTGTGCAAGACATCATTATGAGACAAATCTGAGAAAGGATAGAGCTGGTTAAGGGACTTTCAGTTTACAAGTGCTACATTTAAAGCTCTTTCATGGACTGCTCCCTGAATTGGAGATCAAGCTTTCTGCGTAGGCTGTACCTACTCACCCCCTGCTTCGTGAACTGCCCCCAAGGTCCTATTTCTGCTACAGTTCAGCGTTATCTGCCCTCTGTGAAATGCACTAACAAAACTTTCAGAGTTAAGGTTATCAGTTTCTGAGAGGGACCATCCAGCAACAGAAGCTACAGATACAGAAAAGCTTTGCAAGAGAGGACAGTGGCCACCCAGAACAGCCATGTGCCTTTGGTCTCTACAGCTGCGTCCTCTTAGCTCCTTATAGCTTGAGTTCATGGCTCCATGAGCCAACTTCATTCTCTTCTGTCCTCTTCTCTCCCTTTCTATGATTCCCTTAGTTCTACTAAGACAGGTGTACTGGTTGATACATTGTGTCAACTTCAGAAGTTTAGAAGTTTAACTAAGTGACTAAGCCTAGAGCCAGGAGTTTTGGTTTATAAACATCCTCATCCTGTGCAAGCAGAGGGCAGGGATTTTGTGTGAGTTCTGCATCCCCAACCCCAGGATAGCCTGCTTATAAGGAGGGTAGAGAGACAGGCTAGAAGCCACAGCTGCTGACCTTCCCGTTGCTCTTCACTGTCTTCTGCAGCCATCAACTGCTACCCTCTGCCATGTGCCACTCTGCCTGGGAGCCAGCCAAGTATGGACTGAAACCTCCACAAACTGTGAGCTAAATAAACCTTTCCTTCCTTAATTTTGGGTGTCAGGTATTTTGTCCCAGCAACAAGTGAAAAGTAACTGAGAGAACAGGGTTTCATAAAGTGAAAGCCAGCATCTTTTTACTTGGTGCTGAACACAAACTCCTACACAACTGATTCACTGACTTTTCTGTAAGACACATTCTCAGAAGGGTCCCTTGCCCTTCTATGGCCAAAAGCCAGGAACAAGAAGCTGAGATACTGTTATCAACCAGTGGCACAGCACTTAGGTTCCCTTACTGAGATCCCTTATCTAAAAACTGCATACCATATCCTGAGTGTACTTTGCTTTTGGCAAAGAAAGTAGGAACACATCTTCTATAAAATGGAAACAATATAAAACAAGTCAAATGTCACAATCCATTTAGCTTAAAAATATGATTCCCTTCCAAGTCCCCACAAATATACAACTGAGTAGACTTTAAATTGGCTCTTGAAATCTCAGTGCCTTCATCAGAGACAGTAAAATGGGGTGCAGAGGTTCTATGACCAAAAGATGAAAATACAAACTCTAACTCTGCCAATCAATAGCTGTATAATTTGAACACATTGTCTAACCTCCATATTCTGATTTCCAACAGGTATCAAACTGGGATGAAGATTTTCACCTCAGATCTGCAGTGAGAACGAATGTGCTCATCCCACATCTGTGTGTTTATGTGCATTTGTTGCACAGTGAGAGAGGAATGACAGTTATTTCCTTCTAAACTACAATTTACTCCAATGCAGACCTCAACAAGGGCCCAGACTCCAATGAAAATTCTCAAGACAAAGTGACTGCTGATCTACTACTTAAAAAATATCCAAATATTCTCTATTATAGTTATCAACACAAATACACAGGTTCAACTTACCTGCCCTTTAAGTCTGGTGATAAATATATCTTAAATGAAAGTAAAGAACTCCTCTCGACTCTTTCTTTCACAAAGAATTTTGATTTTTACACAAAATGAAATCACAAAACATTTCAAGTGTCTTTTTATCTTCAAACACAACCAGGTTTGATGTATGCCATGGAATTCTCTCAATGATACCTGTTCACAGGTAAATCTTACCTCGCGTTGTCCAGCAATTCAGCCAGAGCTCCAAAGAGGAAACCATGAGTTGTGCTGACAAGGAAATAAAGGGAAAATGCAAGGTTAAGCCAAGTGTGTCATAGGGTAGGGGCTGCAGAGGCATGCAAACAAACCAGCTGCAGTCCTGGACAGATGAACAGCACAGAAATTACTCTAGAAACAAGTTGTTCGGCCCAGCCAAGATTCTCAAGTTGGTGCTCTGTGTTACGACCCCAACATACGGAGCTGGGGCTGGATATCCTGATCATTCCTCAGGAAACAAACACTAAAAACAAGCTTTGCCTTTAAAAATCGCTTTGTGAGCCTGATGAAATGGACAGGAGGAATTCCACAGTCACAGGTAAGGGTGGAAGCTGAGGCCATAGGACTTGACCTGAACCATGCTCCACAGCTGCAGAGATGTGAAGCCCACACACAGCCTGCACAGGGCTTCTCAGTCCCTCTCATCAGGTGGGCCAAATGCCCAAGAGATTCCATCCCCTACCTCTCTGCTCACCCTGCATGTTCTGTATCTCTAGATGACTCTTAACTAAACAACTCTCTTCATAAATTTTATGTATGAAATATCTATAAATCACTTTATAAATCTGTACTTAAGAACTTTCCCCCAAGCCAGGTATGGTTACCCACTCCTGTGATCACAACACTTGGAAGGCTAAGGCAGGAGGACAGCCATGAGTTCAAGGTAAGCTTGACTACAAAGTTCAAGACTCAAAAAAATGAACTTTTCCCCCAAAGAGTAGCTCATTAAGTTCTTATTTAGCACCAACTTATTTCTGAAGAATGTTGATTAAAGCCCTAGTCTACCTGAAGGTCTTGGGGGTTCATCCCTCAGCTCAGGAATTGGCAGGTGTGCCCTGTATCATCAACCTGTGTTTTTCTCTGGAAGTTTTCCACTTCTGCAAAGCGTACTTCTTAATAACCTTACGGACCAGCTGTGATCACGCCATCCCGTGCCCCACCACCGGCTCTTGATGAAAGAAAGCGGTGGACAGCTTCACCACCTAAATCGCCTGAAAGCTGGAGCCCTTCTGCAGGTGAGAGCAGGCTTCGGGCCCACGCTTTGCATTTCCTTTCATGATTAAAGTAACTCAATCAGTGCCCTTATAATGGCATTAAGGGAAAACTCAGTATGCAGTGCACTTCTTTATGTTTAATAAATAGGCCACAAAAACAAAAGAGACTCATTTACCAAAAAGCATCTGCTCATTTGTACAAGAAAAAAGCATTAACTGCAGTATCTCAGCATCACCAAACACCTCAGGCCACAGGACAGCATTGGTTTAAAATTTATTTAGATAGAGTTCCATTTTTGAGATGCTAGACTTCGAACATGGTTCAGGTCAGCTTTTAAGTTTGTAATTTAAAAGAATCAAATCCAGTACAATTGTATTTAAAAATACATGTATCCTTCACTCAAAGTAAAGGTGGTATGAAAACTTAAAATTCTGCCAAGAAAAGTACGTGCCATTCTTTACAAAACTAGCACTTTAAATCATAACCTCTGTCCTACCAATTTGCTTTGAAACTGTCTCATTGCTATTTGCTTCTCAATAAAATTATGGGAAAAACAAACAAACAAACAAACAAACAACAAAACTCTTGCAACTAAAAATAAATAAATAAATAAATAAATAAATAAATAAATAAATCACAAGCTCTTCTAGCAAATTTAAAATCTGTACATTGACTGAGTCGGAATACAAAAAAATTAAATGTATAAATTGATACGTACTCAGCGCAGCAGAGAAACAGGCAGAAGGAAGAAGGAAAAAGGGCTATATTTTCTTTGAGGACACAAGGAATTTGGGGAAGATAAGAAATTCTCTGGACTGGACAAAGGGAGGCTGAGGCTTTTATGGCCTTATGCCAGGGGAGGGATTGAAAGAGGATGTTTAGATACACCAGAGAAACTGAGTGGGGGTCTTCCCTGAGGTGGCTGGATAGGTGAAAGGAAATTATGTCCTGGGCTGAGTTGGAGAAGAAGGGGGAGGTGGTCCTGGGGAAGATGGGCTTTGTTTTAAGGGCTTCATCTGTATTAGTTGACCACCATGTTGATTTTAGCAATTCATACTAGGGCCAGAACCTTCAAAAATAGATAACCCTTTGGGAACATGTAATACTTGTGACCAGGAATTTCATGAGTTCTTGTACTAAATCTCTGTTTCGTTTGAGACGGGATCTCGCTGTGCAGTTCAGGCAGACTGGAGCTCACTCCGAAGCCCAGGCCGGCCTCAAGCTCACAGCAGGGCTCCTGCCTCAGCCTTCCCAGGTTAGGATTGTGCGTGTGGCCACCACATCTGGCTTCAAGTTTCCTTCTCTTCTCACTGCCCGAAGACCCAGCCAACCCCGACACTCACGAGTTGGCATGGATGAATTCCAGATGCAGGCAGGCCCTGTGCAGCGAAGGGTACTTTTCAGCCATGTTCAGAGCGATCTGGGAGACCGGGCTCTCACCCACGCATGACGCCCACGCACGTGGAGCTCACGCTCGGCCGCATGCGCGCCCCCTGGCAGCGCCTAGCGCGCCCTGTGCGGGGCAGCCAGGCCCTTCCTCTGGCCGGTTCCAACCCAGGAGCACAACCCAGAGGAGCCCGGACCCCAGCAGGAACTGAGTGCTGGATATGGGTGCATCCTTAACATATTTCACCTGATTTTCAGCCATTAAGGTGCTACCCAGGCTGGAAAAACTGAAATTCCATAATTGGGGTTGGGGTTGGGGGTGGAGTACAGATGTGCTCAGATGCTGTGTAGACCAGCTTATCTGGCTTCCGCTACTGTTGTCCCAAGAGCAGGCAGCTGAATTAGATAGAAATATTATAGGCAGGCAGACAGGGCCAGGCCCTGAAAGACAACATGGAAGAAGAGGTGACTTTGCAACTTAGAAGAGACAGACCCTATACTATGGGCCAGACCTTGAGACAAAACAATAAACAAATGCAGCTACATACTTCCCTAGGGATGGGCATCAGGGATTGATCTTCTAAATAGGTATCAATCACCCTAAAAAAGCCCCAAAAGAGTCATTACCCAACCTCAACAGGAAGAGACCTTGTTCCATGTTCATGCCCGCTTGCTATGTGGCTCGCTTCCTCATTCGGTACTGGATTTAATCAATTTTACCTGAGCAATGGTGTTTCTAATCTCATTGGTTTACCAGTTTTGTTCTACTGATATAGGGAGAAAAGCTGATCTCAGGTGGGTGACTTCCAAATGATACTGGGAACCTCCAAATGACATAGGGCAAAAAATGATCTCCTGATCTGAACTGGATGAGTTCGTATTCTTTACTCTATAAAAGTCCTTGGAAGAGACAGCTTCCCAGGGAAAGCCCGCTTGGGGCCCCCCTCCTGTCTTTCTCAGACAGGAGCTTTCTTTCCCCCAATAAATATATTCTGTTCATAACCTGTGTTTGTTCCTAAAATTCATTCTTCAATTTTAGAGAACATGAACTCATCCAGGTACTTTTCAGGTCAGGAGTTTTGTTTTCCCTTATATCATTTGGAGGTCATCCACCCAAATTATTTTCCCCCTATGTCACCAAGACACTGAATTCTGATTAACTAGGGCCCAAGCTGAAACCAGGTTTATCAACAATGCTGCATGCAAAGGTGCTGCCTGGAATGGGGCCCTTGTTGACTTGTAAGTGCTCGAACTCTGGTTCACAGCCCAGCAGTGATGGACACAGCCAGCAGTGGCACTCAGGCAGCAGGTTCGCCACCCCTGGCTAGGGCTACCACACCTGGAAACTAAGATACCACCACAGTACTTAAAAAACATTTTGCATGGTAGTTGTAAAAAGGAGTGTGTATTAGACAGAACATGAACTAGATGTATTCATGATTTGTAGCATTATCTGGGCAATAGAGCTCTCAGAATCAGGAAAAAAATGTTAAATTTGGACTAGTCATTCTGCTTTAAAGGAAAGGAATTTAGCAGCTACTACATTTATAGGAATCAGTAGAGGAAGGAATTTGAAAGGCAACCCAAAGAAACATGATATACTTTAATTTGAAGACTAGAAGTAAACATAAACATTTCAAGTAATTATCCTGAGTGCATTTTTGTTTTAACAGTGGTGAAGTCTTGGTAGCGAAATTCCCTTTACTAAGCAACTTAAGCTGTCTTTCCTTTTCTTTTCTTTCCATAGAACTTCAAGATACAGCATTTTGTTTTTATTTTATGGGCAAGAAAAGCTTGACAGATCTTTCTGGATTTGTTTTACAGCCCTAGTTTTCTACTGCTCTCTCGAAACTATTTCCTTTTGGGAGGGCACTCATGCTAGCCTGTGTTTAATAAAGACTGTAATATCCAATTCTGTGCAGAGGGAGAGATGCGATGATGGCAGAGGTACTTCATATGATCTGAGAAGAGCCTTCCTGCAGTGCGAGGCCAGCCCCAAACTCCAGGTGGTGCGGCTTGGCCTAAGGCGAGGAGACAAAACCACTGTTATTTTACAAAAATAGAGGCTCAGGGTCACTCTGCACACTCCCCCAGGCCATTTCCCTTCCCCACGCCAGCACTGCTCACCCCACCCCATCACACAAAGCATACCTGTTCCTCACCAAGGTACACTTTGGAGACACTTGGTTTGACACACTTCCCTCAGCCCTGCTTCTGTAGTTATTTTATTTCATGATGAAATCACTGAAGCAGTAACAAGGAGGAAAAATTTAAATAGGAATGCATTTGTTCATTGTAATATGGGTCTTTATTTTAAGGAGAGTCAATTTGGCCTAAGAGGCTCTTCAGGTCTCATTAACTAAATATTTCAGTTGCAATGCATGTGTTCTAGTCCTAAATAAGATTACAAATCTTTCAAACTACACTTACCATTTCTGTTGTATAAAAAATAACTTATATAAGTTTTCATCACTTGGGCTGGCCAAATAGCTCAGCGGATTAAAGTGCTTACATGCACGTTCAGGAGCTGGGGGATAGATCCCTGGGCCTGCAATGCTAGCCCCACCCACAGGATACGCTGAGACAGCAGTTGAGACTGGGCATGTTGGTGCATGCCTGTAATCCCAGCTCTTGGGTGGTTGTAAATAGGGGGATCACTAGGAGCCCGATCTAGTAGCGAGACCCTGAACATCCTGTAGACCTTTCTCAAACATACAAAGAAAAGAAAAAGAAAATATGTTTTTCTCACTCTTTTTTGCCATAATATTATTGATAAACAAATAGCAATGAGACAATTTCAAATCAAATTGGTAGGACAGTTTCAATAATTAACACACTGCATACATTCTTCTTAGTGGTTAATTGCTGTAAAA